GGGAAGGCTTACCCCTCTTCACCACAGGAGTGGCTATAGTCTCAGCAGGGGCAGACTCCTCCTACCAGGTCTAATCCCACTCCTACTGGGCAGCTTGGGTGGTTAGTTTAGGACCTAGGGTAGTGGCTACAGCCAGGACCCAATAAAAGTGCTCTGCTAATCCCTTTAATGAGCAGCATCTTGGCACTCATGCACGCACAGAGCACAGAGGCTGACTCCTGGGCAAGCAGTAGCCGGTGACGGAAGTTCCAGGACTGCCCCAAGGCTGAGCCTGGGACCCGGGGTACCCTCTTCCAAACACACACAGCACTGCCTTTGCAGGTCCAAGGGGGTTCTTCTGGATCCTGGAGACTTAGGCTCCCTACAACGCTGCACCAGCGACCCTCCGAGGGTCAGACCCTAAGAATGCCCAACCCGAAACAGAATTCACTTTGGGCCTACTGCCAGAGCCCTCCTCCCACTAAGGCTGCCACAGCTGTGCCAAGTCTCACTAAGACCTAGTGTCCTCTGTGCCCTCCTCCCTCTCCAGAGAATGGGGAGCCAGACCTCACGTTGCTCAGTACAAGTAGCTGATGTGCGAAAAGTCATGCCATCACCCCTAAACCCCTGTCACCCGTCTGCTCCCACACAGAGCCGTGGCACAGCACCTCATGCTTGGTCAAGAAGCCGTGCCCACTGTGTAGGAGGAGGAACATGGGCAGCTGTGCCTGTCTCCTCGCGGAGATTGAGTACGGCCCCTCTTTGTGTGTACCTCTTCAGGTCCTTCTGAGAGGCTAGCCACCTCTCTTTGCCCTGAGATGCCTTAGGAGTTTGACAAGCACCATGTGGAATGGCGGCAGTTGGGGGGGGGGGTAAAATGCAGACAAGGCCTCCTCCTCTTTAGGCTTATTTATTTTGTATGAGCAGAGGCCTCTCCCTTCTCATTGTTGCCTCTGCTGTCTTCTCCTGTCCCCTGTGGCCTGCCCATCCCAGCCTGTGCCATGGGGAACCAGCTACAGCACCAAGCTTGTTTTCTGGCAAGACCAGTAGAGAATGGGGAACATAGGCAGTAATGGGCATTGGAGTCTGGCATCCTGTGGCCTGCCCCAGTGCCAGTTCTCCCTCTAGGGTGAACCCAGGGTCCATGGCTTCCCTTTTGTCCTTGGTGTTGCTGTATGCAAGACAAGGCTGTCACTCCTACCTTCCAGAGTCACCAAGTCCCTGGAGAATATGAGGGCACAATCTGAGTCCAAACATGGGGCGACAGGAGAGGAGGGGTGGTCAAGCTTTCTTATAGCCAACCTTCCCATGGGCCAGACTCTATGCTGCTGGGGGAACCTCTCTAGTTGCCTGGCCATGGCTGGTTTCTGCTAGGCTTCACTGGGGGTCTACATATACTGTAGGAAAGATGCTGAGAGCTGGGGAGGATGGGGTAGGGGTAGGGGTTGAGCCAAAACCAGGCCACTAAGTCAAAATGTCCAGGGTTCCCCCAGAAAACTCTTCAGCCTGCCTCCTTCCTCTTCCTCTCCCAGCAACCCACCTGCATGGGGCCCCATCTGGCACTGCATGGGCCATAGGTCCCTGTGTATCCCCCTTGTAGAAGCTATTGTGTTATGCTTACTGTGTGACTCCTCTTCCCTCACCCGGTACTGAAAGATTCACAACACCTCTACCTCTGGGCCCATCCCCCCATGACTGGTCAGTCTCCCGCCGCCTCACGTGCATGTCAGTGTCCTGGACAGCAGAACCCCTCTGCGAGACCGCCCTCCTCCCGTGTGCCACCCCCGCACCTCCCTCCACCCTCTCCTTCTGCTTGTGGAGATCACTGTTCTTCTGGATCATTGTCCATATCTCTCAAAGGAAAAAAAGAAAAAGATTCCTCAATGCTTTTCTTTTCAAAAGGGAAAAAAAAAGGAAAAAAAAAACAATGCCAACAGCCCAGCGTCCGTGAACAACCCAACAGTAACAAAGCATGCGTTCGGGATGGAGGAAGGTAAGGCCACACGTTTCCACTCGCCGCTTGCTCCTAGGGCAGGGTGGGGTGCTTCAAAGCAGGGGATCCAGCATACATCCACCCCTCCTCCACGTTCACTTCCCACATACTGTCACTCTTGCGTCTTTGGAGGGACAAAGAGAGATCTGGTTTGATGGCAGATACGTAGGAGACTGTCCCAGAACCAGCCAAGCCCCCAGTTTTGCCATTAATGAGTCCATGCTGGAGAAAGGCCCCATCTCTCCTTACCACATCATTCATTCCAGAAGTTACTTTTCTGCACAAGCTACTTTTCAGTCCTGGGAGTTGTGACTGGGGAAGCAGAGATGAGGCACATACTCCCTGCCAGGGCCTGTCCTCCGTGGGCGGGGGTGGGGGGGTAATGCACTTGGATGCATTCAGGGGGCCTAGCTGGAGTTCAGTAGGCCTAGGGGCTCTGCAGGGCACATCTCAGTTCACAAAGGAGCGGACCCCCATAGACAGCTTAGAGAGATGAGCAGGCACTGGGTCCCAGTGGCCTCAGGTTGTCCATACATGCTCCTCATCCAAACAGAAAACACCAGTGAGACCTCACTGGAGCATCAGGCTGCAAACAGCCATTTGCTAGTGTCAGGGAGTTTATGCCTATGGACCCTGAAGAGTCAGTGGCAGTCTTTAAGTGGAGGAATAACAAGATGTAGAGTGTCTTGGCTTTTGGTGGATACATATGGAGATCTGGGAACCCAGTGACCAGTTCAAACTAGCCTGGGCAATATTGAAAGGAGACAAAGTCAGCAAAATCTTATGTGCCCCGGATGTGGAGGCAGGAGGAAGCTGGCCAGGCCCTCTCTCTCCCAGGCCTAAATAACAAAGAGAAAGTTTGGCCCAGACAGTTCAGCCATGCCTGGCCTCCAGGAGAGCAAATCCATCTTGTAACCCTCTGGCAATTGTCCCTACACTGTCATTTGACGGATGGGGTGCCTTCATGCAGACTCCTGTGGTGGGATCACCAAGATGGCTTCGGGGTGTTGCCAGGGCCTACACCGAGGGTCAGTGGGTTGCCGGGCTTGGACCTGCGCTGTGGATTCCTCAGCTTCTTTTTGACAGTGTGGATATGTTGCACTTTGTGTCAAGACTATTGGGGCTCTCCCTCTGCTCGGCAAAGGAGCTACCCTTCCCTTCCTGATGGTCTCTCCTGCTCCTTTATCTGGGACCGGCTTCCTTGGGCCTGCCTGTATCCTGAGGAGGCCCCTGCCTTTCTGGCTACTGCCTGCTTCTCTCTGCCCTTCTGGCCCTGCTGTCAGCGCCCCCTAGTGCCAGGATGGCTGCTCAGGAGAGCATGGGCCTCTGAAAGCCACCTGGGTCCTTAGGTTTCTCTGGGAAACTTCTGGGCTTGCTTGTGGGGAAAACAGAGAGGAGAAGGAGCTCTCCTGGAGTCTGCTGCTTGCTCACTAATGCTCAGGGCCTTCCCTTTGCTCTCCAGCGCTGCCCCTCTAGTGGCGCAATGGCTGTATCCCGTATGAAGGCTAACCTGAAAGCCAATCAGAAGGGAAAGATCTGAGGAGCTCCCCCTGCCTCATCTTTCTGTGCATACAGAGCTATTTCATGGCTTTTCCAGGACCAAGGTCTCATAGGAAGCCAGCATTCAGCTCCTAGCCTGTGTCCCCGCCACCCCCCCCCCTTACTTACAATGCTCACAACCTGATGGGAATCTCTAATATCCTGGTGTGCTCATCTAGCCTGGGCTCAGATCCAGACATGACTGGCATAGTTACCATTTCCCTGTCCCATTTTGTGGCTGCTGCTGCCGCTGCTGCTGCTGGGCAGCCCAGCTTGGACTGTAGTGTATCTTCAGAGTGTGTGAGGAGCTGGCTGGTGATGGCCAACCCAGTGGAGGCCATGACCCCTCACTCCCTAACCAAAGCCAGCTGCGCTGCATGTGTATGGCGGCAGGGGCCTGGGGCAGCTGCAGCCTGGATCCTGGGCTCTGAAACCATATCAGATGAGGGTATTGCTGGGTGTACCTCGATGTTTCAAGTAACTGCTTTGAGATCCTACACTTGTGAGGCAGACAAGCAAAACTCCATAATCGCATTCTTCAGGGGAAGAAGTTGAGCTGTAGGGTACATCTGAGCTTGGAAAAGACTCCAGAAACTGTCCGTGCACGTGCTTGCCACCAGTGAAGAGGAACTGACCACCCTGAGAAAAACCAATGAATAAATCCAGCGAGCAGGGAGCCCTATTCCCAGCTCTCTGCCTGTCCCAGTTACTGTCTTGGATGAAGAGGTGGTGAGGCAGTTAAAGTTACCATAGCTAAGCAAGATAGAACTGTGTGCTGTTTCCAGGAGAGCAGTGTGGAGGTTCAGGGACCACTCTACAGATCAACTCAGCACATCCATTCTATGGGTTGCCAGGAGACTTTGGGAGTGCTAAGAGGAAATATTCATGCAAGGAAAGAACCCTCTCTCCAGTGGAATAGGCTCCCCCCAAGGGAAGGCATATACTTTGTAGAAGCTCAGGCCTGGCTAGCAGGTAGCTTTTGTAGGTGAGAATAGGGAACAATGGATGGCCGAGCAGGGACGGAGCTCTGGGGACAGGTCAGCAAGAAGAGCAACAGACCAGGTGGGCACAGATCGGGTAGGCAGGCATCTCTTCTCCTGTCCTAGCTTCTGCCCACCTGCTGATCCTGGATAGCATGCACTGAGGAGGAGAATGCTGGCCAAGCAAGAGTGCGCATGCTGGTGCTAGCTAACCACAAGTAACAGGACGGCAGGAGATTATACTTCTGCCCTCAAGGCTTCCCCACAGTGATTGACACACCCAAGTCAGAAGCTGGAGTCTGCTAGCCAAGGGGGCTTCTCCCCTGACTGAGCCTCCCTGTGAGCTGAGCTGCTACTTGGTCCATATGGCGGGCAGGCGGGCATAAGCCTCCCTGCAAAAGAGTATGAATGGACCCACAGTGGGGCTTCCTGGTGAGCAGCCAGGCCCAGGGTGTGCCCCCACCTCCAGCCCACTCTTATCAAGCCTGCGCCTCTCCTCTGTTTTGCAGAACTTCAGCGAGAGGGAAGCATCGAGACTCTGAGTAACAGCTCAGGCTCCACCAGTGGCAGCATCCCCAGGAACTTTGATGGCTACCGATCTCCGCTCCCTACCAACGAGAGCCAGCCGCTCAGCCTCTTCCCCACTGGCTTCCCGTAGGCACCAGCCACCTGCTTCTGACTGGCTGAGGGACAGGGAGAAGCACCCCACCCCACCCCACCCCCTATTCCACCCCACCCCCGCACGCCTCTGGTCCTACCCTTCTAAGTCTCTGCTCCTCGTTCACCAACCCCACCTTCCCTAAGCTTAGTGACAACGACTGCTAATCCTCTCTGGACGAAGAGAGACTTCCAGAACTGCTCGGCACACCCTGACCTCGGTCACTCCTGTCACTGGGGGCTGTGGCCAAAAGAGACTGCAGAAACTCGGTCCCTTCTCTCTTTGCACATAATGTCCCGCATCGGATCCGCTTTTGTATTTTTTAACTGTACCCACAGAGGGACTGGCACAGTGGCCAGATCGTAGGGCCCGGGTGAGGAGAAGTTGAGTGGTCCAGCCAGGCATTTGGGTGGACGATGTCAGTCCTAGCCCACTTCAGGCTGTGATGCACACTGCCCCCAGGTATCCCTGCTCAGTTCCCTCCCAAGACAGGAGAGAACTGAAGCCCCGAGTGATAGCGAAGGAAGAAGGAAAGAGGCTGCCTTTGCCCCTTGCTTCCTTTTGGCTCATGGGGAGAATCTGTCTGTCTTATCTTTGAGTCCTTGTACCCTGGTCCTGTACTGTTGAGTGAAGGAAACCGTGGTTACTGAGGCCGTATCAAAAGTGCACGTCTTGTCCAATAAATCACGCTGCAATTGGTGTCCATTCCTGAGTTGCTGGGGTCAGAGTCCTCTCCAAACACTGAGGAGAGCCCTATGGGTCAGACATGCTCCCAACACCCACACCCACACTATATGTACAAGGGAGCCCATGTTAGGAAGGAAAGGGGAGGAGAACCTTCCCACTGGAAGTTAGGTGGGGTTTAACTGAAGTTCAGTCTCAAGACTCTTGCCTGTTACCAGAGCCTAGGATTTGTGGAGGCGCCAAGCTTGGGCCTCCCCACAAGTGGACGTAGAGGGCAGTGTAGCCCCTAGTGTGTCCTGGGTTGCTCTGGAATAAGAGCTTGCCTTTGCCTGTGACCTTGTCTGAGGGCACTTGGGAATCACCTCTCTCTCGAGCTCAGAAGATAGAGAGCTTGTGAACTAGAGTGGGGTATGTTGTGGAAGTTGGCTAAGATCTCAGACAGCAAGCTTTTGGGTTTTGTTGTTTTGTTTTGGAGATCAGGTTTCGGGTAGTTCACTATATAGTCAGCTATAACCCTGACCTTCCTGCCTCCGCTTCTCAAGAGCTGCGATCGCATTTGCCACCATACCCGGCCTGAATTCTTGCTTTCTATTCCCTCCTCCTCCTGTTCTGGACCAGCACAATGCCAGGGAGCAGCAGAGAAGTGCGGTGAATGGGAAAGAGGCTAATACAGTTCTAGCCCCTCTGCCTTCTCCCATACCTCTGAGGCCCAGGGCAGGCCTTGAAGGACTGAAGGAAACCCGCTGAGCCAGGTGTGCTTTAGATGAAGGTTTTTAATGGAAGAATTGGATTCACAGACGAGCAGCCTTCCCATTCAACCATCTGGTCAGAGCTGGGGCAGCTCCTGGGCCCCTGGCCTCTCCATAGTTCCCATCCCACCCCTAGGTGCCTGAAGAGAAATTTAGTATTCAGTCACCCCACCAGATCAAAGGGGAGAAGATACAAATCACACTGTGCCTTCTGTCTGGGCTCCTGAGGGCTGAAAAGCCCCATGAGGGAGCTTGCTGGGAACACAAGGCCTAGGCCCAGCAAGCTGGAGCTCCACAGAAGAGCAGCTTTTCCCCGTTTGGACAGCTTTCGACATGGATGTGCCTGGCACAGCCCCCATCCCCAGCTGGAGCACCCTTTTAGTCGGCAGAGGACAGAAGGAGGGTGCCACAGGCTGCTCGCGCATACAGCTGGTGACTTGACTGCCCGGGGTTGGGCACTGACGCTCTAGAAAGCATGACCCCTCTGCACCCACACTTGGGCACGTGGATGGGACATTGTTGCCAGGAACTCTCAGCCATGCAGGGGACCTGCCCACCCTGGTCCGGCCCTTCCCTTTACAGTGTGTGTGGGGGGAAAACGATGTGGCCTCCTCCAGTCAGGGAAAGCAGTGGGTGTAGTGCGGGACTGGGACCTGCGGCCGAGCTTGTAGGACAATCTGGTTATTCATCTGCTTGCAGTCAGGGCAACTAGAAGTAAGTGGGGGAGGGGGAGGATCAGAGAGCCCAGATAAGCTGGCCCCGTAGTGGCTGCCTTTGGAGTTCAGGTTATCTGAAAGGCCCTGGGCCTGACCTCCAGCTAATTGGGAAGGTTAGGGACGCAGCCACAGCCTGTAATCAGCTGAAGTGAGAGCCGGACAGGCAGGGGACCTTACTGCCACTAACCCTAGAGCAGCCAGCTTCTTATCCTGGACAGATAACATCCAAAACAACCTCCCCCGCCCCCCGGCGAACCCCCCCCCCCACTTCACGATAGCATCACTCAGAAGGTCATCAGAACAGGAATCTAATTGTGGCTGAGCCAGGTGACCTTGAGGAAGGCAAGTGACCTCCCCATTCTCACAGCACTGCCTACCCATTGGGCTCCCTCTCTCCATCTGACGGAAGAAAAATATCTTCGTGGTCTTCAAAGAGGCTGCTGGGAACTGGAATGGCAACTCACAAGGCAGGGCACTGTCTGCCTGGGATTCAGTAAAAAAGGCCCAGTGGTCCAAGGGCAAAATCACACACAAGCACAGATGTCAGGGGCGTGCAGAAGCCAGGCTAGACAGCCACAAGACTGCAACTGAGGATAATTTCTCAATGCTCGCTTCTGGTTTTTACAGATCACAAGCTGTAAACCCGAAGATGTCACCCACCCTCCTTTTGTGATGACAAGCTTGAGCCCCAAGAAGGGCAGGGCCTCTTGCAAGGTCATGGATTCACACAGCTAGTCAGCTGACCCCTGTCTGCACCTTGGTGTTCCATGTGCCCTGGCCAGTTCCCATACTGCCACCTGGATCCTAGCTGACTTCTCTGCCCAGTGCCCCTCAGACAATCCCAGACCGATTTCACTGACTCCTGCCTGGGTCCTCTCAAGTTTTCAGCGGGAGCTCCTGGCTTTCTTTGAAGCTGCTTCTGGGGTACCCATCTTTCCCCCATCCCCACCCCACGTCCTGCAGATCTGCTCCTAAAATCCAGAGCCCAGTGGAAGTCTTGGAATGCCAATGTGGCTTTCCTCTCGGTGCACGACAGCAATGCCTTTCCAAGGAATGGATTTAGGGTCTGAGCGCATGCTTTTTTGAGGTTTCAGGGTTCCATTCTAGCTTTTCCACCGGGAGCTGTGACCTTAGGAAGGCTACCTGCAGCTCTGGGCTTCAGGGTTCTCATCTGTCGGAGAGGGACTAGGAAGAACTCAGCAGAGGCAGCATGACTCACATAAAGGGGACACTGCCCGTCAGAAAGGTAAAAGGGTGTTCAGAGGCTACAATCCAGGGAGCTCACTGGTGGGAACAGGACTGCAGGGGCAGAACAGAGAGTAGCCGCACTGTGCCTCAGGTGCCCCCAGGGAACCCTCCTCCCCTCCTGGTGTAGGTCTAAGCTGAGTGCCCACCGGCCAACCACACGCCCAGCTGCTGCAGGTGGGCCGGTTCTAGGAGCCCTTCTCAAGCCGGTTCACTCTCCTGAGGTCCCAAACACCCACCCCACGTCTAGGCTCAAATTCAAGACTCGCACCTCAATCTTGCAGCCCTGTGTGTGCCAAGAGCCACAGATGCACTCCGTCGAATCAAGGCTCAGAGTATTTAGCAGCTTAGAGGAGTTATAGGATTCCTAAAACTCTGGGGAAAGTTGTTCAAAATCGACGAGGACACAACCTAGGTTCCTAACCACGTGATCTCTCAAAAGGCAGGGAGATGTCCACCACACCCTAACTCACGGTGCAAAGTGTACCCCGGGCATAGGCAGCCTAGCCGGGCCTTGTCTTCTCATCAACCTGACAGAGACTGGGCCACACAGTCGGTAACTGTTTACAGTGCTTCCTAGAGCCTGGTGAGGAAGTGGCCCCGCGACTAGTCCTGGCACCAGACTAGGGCCATACCGTGACCACGAAGAGGGTCGGGCAGCCCACTCTTCCCGCGTCGCCTGCCGCACCCCAGCCTGTTGGCCAGACCCTGCGCTGGGTAATTGGGATGAGAGAGGCGACCGACGAGCTGCGGCTCCAGGGAGACTGCGCGCCTGTCAGCCGCAATTTGTTTAAGTGGACGGGACAGGCTGGGCCGCCGCGGGCTGGGGTCACCGAGGCCGCGGCCCCCAGCCTGGCCAGACCCGGGACCGCGGGGGAGCCCAGTCCCACTGCTTAACCGGGCTAGCTGGCGCCAAGGCTCCGGGAGGCGCTGGTCCGGTGGAGAAGCTGTGGATGGGAGCGACGGGTGCGCCTTACTGTCTCCCCCGACCACTTTTCCTAAGCGTAGGGCCACACTTGTCACCCCAGCTTTGCCCAGGCACATTCATTTGCCACGACGCGCTTAGCGCCCAATTACTGGTGCTCACGTTCCCCTCGCCCAACTCTGCCACAGGACCACATCCTCCATCAGTCCCGCATTCACTCCGTGCGGGCTCAGACAAATCCATTCCGGGTCGTGCATGCAGATACCCACAGGTGTTGTGGACTAATCTTTTTCCGCCTACACACAGGAACCTATGCGATTTTTAGGATCAACTCAGGAGAGAGGTCTTTTCCTTGTCTCTTGATCATGCTCAATTATTACCGGGCCAACGGAACCAACAAAAAAAAGGGGGGGGGGGGCAGCTCTGCCAGACTTGAGACTGCAGCCCCATCCGGGCCAGGCTACCAGTGCTCGATTTGGTTGTTGCGGGAAGCTAAGAGTACGGGCCACGTGGAAGAAGCCTGGGACCCCGAAGCCAGCGCCCGCCCGACGCCCCCGCCTAGGACCGCCTGAGAGAGGGAGGGGCGACTGAGCGCGCGTCCCCCACCCGTCTGCGGGTCCCGGCCGATGCGAAGTGACAGGGGCCGGAGCTTTGTTGTGGAGCCTCGGCCGCCTGGCGCCAGCCGCCCTCGCCTGTGCCCTCCCCCTCCAGCCCCGGGCGGCCCGCGAGGCGCCCCCCGGGGCCTCTTAAAGAGACACGCACACTCTGCCCGGGGGACTCCCCCGGGGGCGCCTGTTCCTGGGAAGGGGGAGGTAGAACCAGGCGGGGGTAGGGCGGAGCTGGAGCTGCGAGCCGCAAGGCGCCGCTCGAGAGGCTGCTTGGGCCGCCCCAGCGGCCAGTTTTCGATGCTCCAAGGGTATTCTAAGCAGAAGTTTGATTGGGGAGGGTCGATAAAGAATCTTAAGAGTGGTTATGGCAGGTCCTCCGGTTAACTGCCGATGGTGAGCTGGAGCAGTTGATGGAATCCCAGCCTGCCAGGAAAGCCTGTGGCCAGCCGCAGGGCAGGTTCTTAACTCCTTAGGTGGGATTCAGGTCTCCTGTGCTGCAACCATCGCGCCATAGCTGCCGGGTTTCTTGGAGTTCGTGGACAAATAATTTAACCTTCATGTTTTCAAATCTCGAGTTCAGACGGGTAGAACAGCTGCCCTATGCTACCCAGGAAAATATCCAAAATACATACTTCGATGCATACACAATTCTTACAAGTACTGAAGTGCCTGTCCGCATACGCACAATTTAGCAATTGTATTGCTGATTCGAAAAACTGACCTGGCTATTTTTTGTTCACCTCAGTAACTACCCAAGTGTGTTCAAATACATCTCTCC